TATAGTATTATTAGTTACCTAAATTAAAACTCGCAAATAGAAGAAATCGCAACAAAATCTCAAATCGCAACTATAGTAATATTGGCTGCGTAAAGTGAAACTCACAAATAGAAGAAATCGCAGTCGCAGTTTCCTATGAGAGCCAATCGCAGGTTGCGATTGCGATTTTAAAATCGCTGCGATTGAGTCGCAGTTTGCGATTTGTTGTTCATCTCTAGTTTCCTCAGAGCTTTATCTATTAGGTAAACAAAAGATCAATAGGTTGATAACAAAATGTTCTAATTATTCAGGTACCTAAACTAAGTTAATTAAAAGAACTTAATCGTCGGTAAATTTGCAATACCTGTTCACGCATCTCATTATTCTTTTTTTTTTGTTTTCTTTGATTGGGTTTGGGTTTTACAATATTTAATCATTTGTACAATATAAGTGATGTGCAAAAATAAGTAATTTAATTTTTTTTGTTCAATTTCTCAACAATACCTATGCCAAATATGTTTTCTTACAGTTAAATTAAAATGTTTTAACAACAACTCAAACTCTATTTGATAGACTTAAAGATAATCAAAATAACATTCACAAATAAACTTGTTATACTTTTTATTATAGAATCTACAGTTTTAGCAACTCGGCAATGGCAGTTAAAGAAGTTTTATCATTTCTATAAAGCATAATACTACGAGAGAACCCTTTCAAACACTACAAATTTCGAACTTTACGGGCGATATACAACAGTAGTAAACTGTATTTGCATACTCTTTCAAAAAGAAATAGTAGTTTCTCTCTACAGCATTTTACATTGTAACAAAAAGAATTTTCTCTTTCATTTGAAAAAATTATATATTGTAAGGGTATAAATGAACAAAAACAAAAAAAAACAAGAGGTACCTAGTTGTTTTTTTTATAAATAAATTTTGATTTTTCTTTTCTGACAACGATAGGGAGCGTCGATTAATTACGTAAGGGATTAAAGAGGGGAGGGGTCAAACCAAATCTCACTAAACCTCACGTGGGAGAAAGAGGTGGTTTCGCCATATATCACGTAATTTTTTCAAGTAAAAAATAGTGTGAGAGTACATTAGAAGTTTCTAGAGAACTACAATATTTAGATCGGAGATTTTTTGCACATCATTGTTTCACAACGAGATCTATCGATTAAAAATATTTTAAATATGGCGACGCATCCGGAAATTGACAACTTTCTTATTTTAAATGGGTGCTCCCATTTTTTATTATATACTTAAATTCACAGTAAAATTTTATAAATTTTGATATTAAATAATTTATATCTAACATTAACCGTTTTTGAGAAAAAAAATATTTAAAATTTTTGGATGAAATAAACTGCCTGTCAAAAATATGTGTATAGTCTAAACCTCAAATTTAGTGATTACCACAGTCACTGTGCCATAAAGAGAAGACATGTGGCTATTGGCTATCTGTTTCAAAAATGAAATTGTTCGAATGTCGTGGAATTGAGCGATTAAAAAGTTATCATAAATCATTTTTTTCAAATGGAAACCCACTTTTTCTATTTCACTAGTGAAAAGGCTTTTCAATTTGTTACTTTTGGACTATACATGTTCCTGTATCTAAAATAAATTATTTTTAAGTTATTTAAGATTTAGTTTTAAAGCGTATATTTTTCTTGATTTTAACCAGTAGCCTATAACCTTCCTATAACGTCAAGTGATGTAAAACAATAGATCTGCAAGAAGATATTTTCTTTTATCTATGATAGATCTGACCATGTCATATTGTCAGAGATATTGTGACACTTTGTTCAAAAAGCAATATGTTATCGATCATCATTTCCATGCCAGCTTTGCGCTGTATTTTTTCGATCATAAATAAATAAATAAATAAATAAATAACGTCTTTATTTTTTACTCGGCGAAATTCAGCAGAGCTGTTAAGTTAACCGAGCATATAAAAAAAGTAAATAATATAATACATTCTTAAAAAATAACATTCAAAGAAAAAAGAATTAGTAAGAAAAATGAAAATTAACAATATACTTTAGATAAAGAAAAATCAACAACTTAATAAGTTAAAGCAAAAACAGTATAAAATGAAAATTGTTCCGTAAAGGATACAAAAATTAATAAATCAAATTATTGTGTAATTCTATATCCGCTCAACATATAAGTTTTTAATTTTGTTTTGAAAGTGAACGTCTTTAAATCAAGGGAGTATAGATTCAAGTTGGAATTGTACATCTTGGTTGCCAGGTAGGAGAAAGAACGCTGATATAGCGCCGTGCGATGTTTCGGAATTTCCATATTATTACACTGCCTTATAGCATAGTTAGAGTATCGAAATTTAAGTTTATTAGTTAAATACTCAGGAAAACCATTCCGCAAAATTCTGTGTAAAAACATGCAAAATGTAACTTTTGTCTGTCTTCAATATTTAGCCAATTCAACATATCTAGTTTATATGTAACATGGTCTCTCGATCTTAATCCGTATATTAGGCGAATACATGAATTCTGTACTTTCTGTAACTGTCTCTTAGATTTTTGATCGAGACAAGGCCCGTAAACAAAATTACAATAATTATTTATTTAAGGTATAGTATTAATAATATCAACTATTAGATATCACTAAAGAAAATACAAGATATATTTTTATAAATACACTTTTTAAACTCATAAGGTAGGCAGTATTTATAATATAGGAAATTTAAATAATTCGTTTTCTAACAAAGGGAAATAAATTGTCTGACTGTTTGACACTTAATGTCAAAGGAAGCTAGATAAAATCAAGAAAAATATACGTTTTCAAACTAAATCTTCGAAAAGTTAAAAACGTTTTATTTTAGGTATAGGAACATGTATACTCAAAAAATAACGAATTGGAAAACCTTTTCCCTAGAGAAATAAAAAATGTGGGTTTCCATTTGAAAAAAATGATTGGTAATAATTTTTTAATAGCTCAATTCCATGACAGCTACCGCCATTATTATATGACATTTGAACAATTTAATTTTTGAAATAGATGGCCACATGTCTTTTCTATACAGGGTCCGGCAATAGTACGTCGGGCATCTGTAGCTCCTAGAATATCAAACTTGGGAATTTTGTTCAAATGCAAATCTAAAGTATGTACTAGGATGTATTTCAGGAAAATATTTTAACATTTATAGCGTGGCTCAAAAAAGTGTGAGTGGATCGGGATGATTTTTTTTAATTGGAACACCCTGTATATCATTTTTTTAATAGGTGGAGAATTAAAAAATGAACATTTTTTGCATTTAGAGTATTTCAAAATTTTTAACGGTTTCGCAGATATTCTCGGTTTTGTATTTCATATGGCATTTTCCACAGTAAATTTTTATCAAAGCCACTCAATGATTTTTCTCTCGTATTTTACCATTGAAAGCGTCATGTGAAATAAAACTGCGTGTATCCGGAAAACTATTAAAAATTTTGAAATACTTTAAATACAAAAAATGTTCATTTTTTAATTCTCCATCAAATAAAAAAATAATATACAGGGTGTTCCATTTAAAAAAAAACAATAAAAATTATTTAATATTTTTGAAAGTTTGGTGTAAAATATTGAACATCCTGTATGATTTACGATTACCATATTTATAGCAAAGTAAGAACAGAGCATCTAAAGTAAACATCTAATATAGTTTTGATTTCAGAACAGTTCTTATATTTTTAATATTTTTTTTAAAAATAAATAAAATGAAAAATATATATTTTTGATTTATTTTTTAATATCTCTGAAACTATCGAAATAGATTTACTCATATCTTAGGATTATGTAAAATAATCTGAAAGGAAGCCAAAAATGCAATAATAGACAGGGTGTTCCATTTAAAAAAAATCATCCAGATCCACTCACACTTTTTTGAGCCACCCTATAGAAGTTAAAATATTTTCCAGAAATACATCCTGGTACATACTTTAGGTCTGCACTTTAACAAAATTCTCAAGTTTTTTATTCTAGGAGTTACAGATGCCCGACTGGCTGTGGTAATCACTAAATTTGACTTTTGGGCTATACAAATTTTTTGACAGGTAGTTTTTTTCACCATGTTTTTGTCAATTTTACACGTTTATTTTTTATCTCGAAAGCTATCTAGATAGGCATAAGTTAGTATAATATAAAAATTATGAGATATGAAAGTAGTTTTCAAAAATATAATAATATACCGGGTGTTCTATTTAAAATAGCAAAGATGTTACCACTTTTAGTATGAAGCTGCAACACTGTAATGCAGGTGCCTTTATGCAAAAATCCAAATTTTCAAAAAAATCCTTTTACTAGTTCCCCATAAACGTCTAACGTGCCATGGCCGTGAATGGCCAACCCTGTAGACATTATTTTAAGGAAAATAATATTTAGCATACTCATCATAGGACATATAATATACAGATAAAAATTAGGACAAGGTTATCTTCTATCTAGCCCAATTCATCAAACATTAAAGAGATATAAGCAATGGATAATATAGGTCAAGCGTGAGATCATTAGAACCAATCAAACCGTCAGCAAATTTGGACGAACGCTTCGTCGAATTGATGAATAGGGTTTTTGACGGGAAACTAATCAAAACCTTCGTATCGGACACGGCACTGAACAAAATGAAACGAGTTTTATGCCGATAAAATCGCTATACATCATTGCTCCTATACGAATAAAAAATAATCTTCTCAAGCACCTTCTTGATGTAGGGTGGGTTATTATTTTCTTTTGTGTCATATTTTTGAGTGGCTAATAAATTACTAATTCTTTTAAACAAATAAAATTAACCCTATGTTTAATTTTATTTAATCTGAATATAAAATATAGGCGTAGATTTTTTTAGAAACAGAGCTTTTAACAGTCGATAACATTCTTTTTAATACAACCTAAAAGAAGGAGAATATTATTTTTGTATGAGGTGCCTGTGGAGACTGACACTGACATAAATTAGAATAAACATACCGGGGGCGCCGACTGCTCGGGTGCTCCAGGTGCCCCAGCACCCATGAAAGAAAAACAATGGGTGCGGAGCAGCCGCGAGCAAGCGAAGTATTAAGAGTCTATTACGCTGTACTTTCGGATCGCTCTAAGGGGTCGGGTAAAACGGGTGTGTGACCGAAGGAAATATAATATACATATACAGGGTGTTTCAAAACAAATGCGAAAAACTTCAGGGGGTGATTCCTTGTTCAAAATAAAGGGTAGTTTGCTTTATAAACGTTGGGTCAAAAGTCAACCATTAGGGAGATATAGCGGTACAAAGATGGCGGAAAAATTATGTTTTTATTTTTTATCTTGAAAACGAAAAGAGATAGACTAATGAAATTTTACGGAAGCATTACTGTTATGAAAACACACTTTCTGGTAATTTTTTCACTTTTTTAAAATGAGTGGAAGGGGTTGAAATAAACTACCCCTATCATTCTTGTTAATGAAATTTAAAGAAAAATCTCATCAAACACATGCAAAAAAAAATAATTTTGATAGTTTAGTTTATTTAGAAACTTTTTTATCGGGATGAAATTTATTGATAGAGATTCAATCTACTCATGTAAACGTTTTATTCAAAAAATGTGTTTTTTTAAATTATTTTTAATTGAAAAAAAAACAAAAGCCTTAGGCCCCCCTAGGCTCAACCCCAGGCCCCCAGGCCCCTCAAGCCCACCCAGGATAAATTGCTAGTGACGCTAATGTATATGGGGAAATGGACTATGTGATTTGAAAGCTCATTGTGTATATTTATTTATATTGTGTTTATTTTCGAGAATTTTTTAGTTTTGATGGATAAAGTTGTCGATCGAAGCCCTAAACTGTTAAACAGTGCTCAATCCCGAATATCCCTCCACTACTAGTTCTTCTCAGCAATTTTTGCTTCATTCATTTTGTATCTATGTATAAAATACAGTATTATTCTTTGTTTTACTGCCTGCACTTACACAATTATAATGGGTATAATTAATATTTTCACGATTGGTATCTGCACTAAACAGTGTTATTTCTGCATAACTAAAATTATACTCAATAGAATTGAAAAACATAAATTGATTAAGCTTGTATTGATTGTCGATGCGTGGAAGTTGGTACTTTCCTAATTTTGTTATGACTGTTACAAAAAATGTACAAAAAAATGTCTGATACTGATACTAACCTTACTAACAATTTATAACAAAATTGTTGAATAGGTGTTAACAAGAATGATAGGGGTAGTTTATTTCAACCCCTTCCACTCATTTTAAAAAAGTGAAAAAATTATCAGAAAGTGTGTTTTCATAACAGTAATGCTTCCATAAAATTTCATTAGTCTATCTCTTTTCGTTTTCAAGATAAAAAATAAGAACATTATTTTTCCGCCATCTTTGTACCGCGATATCTCCCTAATGGTTGACTTTTGACCCAACCTTTATGAAGCAAACTACCCTTTATTTTGAACAAGGAATCACCCCCTGAAGTTTTTCGCATTTGTTTTGAAACACCCTGTATATATTTCAGAAATCTGCCTAAGGCTTAGCCCGATTCTGTCGTGTTAAGCCACACCCAAAATTCCAAACACACGTGCTTTGATTAAGGTTTGCAAAGCTTCAGCATTTACCTTCAGTATTTACTCACTATTTTATTATAAAATAGCGAGCAATTTGTTACAAAACAATATAAATTATATATCACTGTAATCACAAAACTTCAATCTATTTCCGTATTGTAACGGGATTTTAAATTATGTTTTTATTTTCGAAAAAATTTAGTCCAAACATAAGGAATATTTTGTTGATGTTTGACCATCAAAATCTTAAAAATAAAGAAGTTGTCTAAAAATGTCCTACATTACGGATATAGTATGATCCTTTATCTTTAATTTCCTTCTTCATTTGTGTAAAAGTACCTAGCCAGTTTTACGTAAAACGTTAAATGCCGAACGCTTATTTTGCTACTTTTTCGGACTAGTGAAATAGAGTCTTAAAACTAATCAGTATAGCAACTTTACACGACATTTATCTCATCCACCGCAAGCAAAACGTCGCTCAAAAACTCGCTCAAACTCAGAAAGTCTTTTGGTATATGCATGATAGGCATCATACTGTAGTAGTGTTTTCTTGACCACTCTTAAGTAGTTAAATCAATCATGTTTTTCAACTTTTATAGCACCAAACAAATTAAAATGAGAATCGCGAGACCCATTTTACATAGAACAAATTTGCTAACGTGATTGCGCCAGTCATTTTATTTTTGATAAAACTGTACTATAAAATTGCGTGTGTGTGCGACAGGCTAAACACACACTACAGGTTAAACTGCGCAAACTGGCCTGCACAGTCCGCCTGCAGCAAATAGCTGAGCGTCTGTGGGGGCTTTAAAAGTGTTTAGAGAGTCTAAAAGTGTTATATATTTATATAATAATTATAATTACATTAAATTGGAACCGAATTCTAAACTTTAGGAACAAAATAAATGTTTGGCATTCCATATGAAATCTGTCAATTATTGTGTTCATGTCTACGACTATTTTTGTGCACATGTTTCTGACTCAGTGTTAATCAATTTACGATAAGGATATTCTTTGGGATAAGGCTAATAGTCTGGCGAAGTATATGAACATTGGCGTAACTACAGGGGTGCCCGGGGGTGCCGGGCCCCCCCAGAGAAATCCTGAATTATGACTCTTGGCTACGTATTAATTTTTATTTGCTTGTGATGCAGTAAAAATGACGTTTTCTAGTTTTGTTCAGTTAATATTATTTTGTTGTGTTCAAAAAATGTGTCAATTTTTATTTTTTTAAAAAATTAGTAATCTATGGGAACACGGTTTGATAACCAAGTCTATGAAATTTATTGATAGAGATTCAATCTACTCATGTAAACGTTTTATTCAAAAAATGTGTTTTTTTAAATTATTTTTAATTGAAAAAAAAACAAAAGCCTTAGGCCCCCCTAGGCTCAACCCCAGGCCCCCCCAGGCCCCTCAAGCCCACCCCAGGATAAATTGCTAGTGACGCTAATGTATATGAAATGGACTATGTGATTTGAAAGCTCATTGTGTATATTTATTTATATTGTGTTTATTTTCGAGAATTTTTAGTTTTGATGGATAAAGTTGTCGATCGAAGCCCTAAACTGTTAAACAGTGCTCAATCCCGAATATCCCTCCACTACTAGTTCTTCTCAGCAATTTTTAGCTTCATTCATTTTGTATCTATGTATAAAATACAGTATTATTCTTTGTTTTACTGCCTGCACTTACACAATTATAATGGGTATAATTAATATTTTCACGATTGGTATCTGCACTAAACAGTGTTATTTCTGCATAACTAAAATTATACTCAATAGAATTGAAAAAACATAAATTGATTAAGCTTGTATTGATTGTCGATGCGTGGAAGTTGGTACTTTCCTAATTTTGTTATGACTGTTACAAAAAATGTAAAAAAATGTCTGATACTGATACTAACCTTACTAACAATTTATAACAAAATTGTTGAATAGGTGTTTAAAGAGAAACTAAATAAAATAAACTGACTCGGCTTTACATAAGCGAGACTTTTTTACATTCTATGTTTTTGATGGGATCTCATTTCTTTTTTTGTAGGTTATCCCCTTATTTTTTCTCGCGTAATATAGCATTCAAAATAATATTGTATTGATTTTAAGTTTGACTAGCAAAAATTCATAAACTCTGAATTATTGTATAAATAATAGTCAGATAATATCAAATTGATTAATTCTAGTTTTCTAACGAATTGTGTTTCGATATAACCCAAATTTCAGCTTTAATTAAAAATGTTTCAATTCCTGATTTTACCAATGCTTATTCATGTTTTCGTCAATTTTACACATATTTTATTTTTATCTCGAAAACTATAAGAGAAAGGTATAGGTTAGTACAATACAAAAATTATGAGATATAAAAGTTTCTAAAAATGTAATAATATACTAGGTGTTCCATTTAAAATAACAAAGGTGCTATCACTTTTCAAATGATCCGGCAACACTGTTAACTGATAATTATCAGCGTTACATAATTACCAGCGTTACATTAATATTATAATATTTTATATAGATGGAGCTTTTGCCTTTATATAAAAATCCAAGCTTTCAAAACAATCACCGGTTCTCCTATTGCCATCGCCGGAAAGTCAGATGACTCACTCACACTCACCGTCACCGTCACTCACCGGTAGCGGCTAGACAGCTAACTTTTAATCCATAAGGATATCTTGAGATTTTCCATTTATTCCTTCCATTATAAGCTTAATGCTACCTAAAATTCAAAATTTAAAGTTTGAACACTTCTATAGAAGTACCTTAGAATTTTGATGACGGTGAGTGAGTCACTGTCGAAGTTAAAGAGAAGTTTGAGTAGCAGTAATTCATAATCCTTGAATTGTTGTGGTTACATTCATATACAAATAAAATTAGACGATATTAAATCGATTAATTCTAGTTTTCTGCCTTTTTCTCGACAGGTAGCTTCTAATCCATACGTACATCTATAATCCATACGTATCATTACGTACTTTACTGGATCACTCAATTTCTTTCTGTTCAGTCATCTGTTGATAGAAGTGTCGTCGAAAAGTAAATTTACATTTGTGTTCCCGTGATTGATGGTTAAGTGTTCGTCTCCAAAGTTTTTACCATATCATCATATTGATTTTAATATCCTGGTTATATAAAAGTAACATTTTTCGTAACGATAAATGAATTCATAATAATTAATAATTAGAGCAGCAATGAAAAATATCAGGTCACAACTCAGCAAAACTGGATTTAGAGTATAACAGAGAGATAGAGCAAAAGCGATCGATAATAAATCGAGCTTTAGGCCAAACAGGGCCATCAATAAAACTTTTAACAAAACGGTTTTGCAGCAGGAGCACAGCCATAGCCCCAGTTTTGGACGTCGGCCATTAGGGAGGAATTCTAGAGTGACACAAAACATCGTTTGTATGAAAGCGCTTCATAGAACCGTTCTATATTTTACCGCAATTTGTAGCATGTATGTACTTCACGGAGAAATGTTTTTCAATGAGAAGTGGTGAAGGTACAAGGAAAAAGAGCATGCAATATTTTACGCCTGTTCTTTATACAGTGTATTTTAGTTTTGTAGCAGGATTACATCTGATAAAAACAGTTGCTTTGAGATGCAAAGTTTATGTTGATATAGAGCATTAAATACATTCTTTCAACAATACCAGACGTAACAATTATAAAAAAAATATTTCATATCTACAATATACAGAGGCGGATACATGGGGTAGGGGTTAAGCTAATAGAGTGTCACATTTAAATAATATAGTTTATACTTTAGTTTATATCAATTGTGAGAATTGAAAGCGTATGCTATTATAGATAAAAATAGCAAAACTTGAGTTAAAACCTTTGGTTAAAACCATATAGGCCAGTAAACGTAGCCGAGTATTATATGTAAAGGTGGAAAAAATTAGTAACCGCAACCAATCTCAACGGGAATATGTAGATAATGATCTCCTTCGGTCCCAGCGGAGGAAGTTTAAAAAAAATGGCCGCCATCTTGGATTTTTTCTTTTTTTTTTAAATATCTCCGTTTGGATAACTTTTTTCGAAAAAAATAAAGATATGTTTTTTGTAGAGAATTAAATTTAGAATTTTACATTTAATCTTTTTTTTTCTCTAAAATAAATAGTAATAGAGATAGAGCAAATTTTTACTATACGGTTTATAAATTTTCCAGTTTTTTTAAACCAATCCGCTATAATTTTTGGCGTTAACATTATAGTGTTAAAATAGATAAACCAAGTATAAATTTAAGCATTAAAACGATTAAAAATAACGTTTAAAAATGATTTATTAAATAAAATATTATTGTTAAAAAATTATTATTAAATTAAAGTTATTAAATAAAATCTACTATAACGTCATCTTGGACGTCATTTTAGCGTCAACTAAAATACAAAAGTTTGTGCAACTGATTCCGTAGCACTGACCACACTTTCAAGAACAAGCAAAACCCAGTTTTCTACAAGAGCAATTTTTAGAACACTGACTCTCTTTGCAATTGCATTCAAATAATTTTGGTAGGTCAGGAGGCGCAACATCTTCTGTTGATTGAATAGGTGTTAGATTGCATTTTTGATCTTTCTTCCATCCATATTGTAAAGGATCTAACTTGTTACCAATCCATTCATGAATCTAAAAAAGACAACAACAACTTATAACAATTCCATATCTTTACAGTTACCTGAAATTATGTCCTGAGTAAATGGAATTTTGCAGAGTTCTCAGTTGTAGGAAAATTAGCTAAATTAAAGGTGGTCTTAAAGGATTCTCAGATGGTTCATATGTTTAATATAACTTGGGAGCAGACTGCTCCACGAAGGACTTGCTCCAGAGGAAACAAAAGCGAAAACACTCCTCCGAAAAGGGGAAAATAAAGAAACCAAGAAACAATCTGATTCATCTCCATCAAAGGGCAAGAGAGGGAGCGAGCAAACCAAACCGTCCAAAACCGGGAGGCAAGCAGGGTCGTATCACCAGCTTTGCCGCTATGGCTGGACAAGTGAAAATGGCGGTGCTGCCAAAGGATTTCCCAGAGGTTGCTCTGACCACCGACCAGCAAACGACTCTAGAAGAGGCTATACTAGACGAAGTAATGGCGACCGGATCGCAACACAACGATCTACAAAATGTGGGTCAGCTGCGTTTTGCGGGGATACACTTTCGGGTGGGCATGATCCTCATAGATTGTGTATCTCAAGAATCGACGAATTGGTTGGTGGAAATCGCACCTAAGCTTAAAAATTGGCAAGGGCCGGAACTGGTTGCAGTGAAGGGAGAAAACATCTCTAAAGGGGCGGCAATAACGGTCTTTCTGCCGAGGAGCAAAGGGAAAGACACCATCTACCTGCTGAGCCTTATCCAAGGTCAGAACTTCAATGTAAGGACATCGAGTTGGCGAGTCATCAACTCGAGGGAGGAGGGTAATGGTCAGGTCCTCACAATAGGAATTGACCTCAAATCCAAGGAGGCAATAGATAAAGAAAGACATATCCTCTATTATAGATACGGGACAACACCGGTATCAGGTCTAAGGAGAGACCAAGTTAAAGACGCGGAGAAAATGGAGACAGATCCTGCAGCCTCCACCTCACGGGTTCCTAAGCCGGAGGCAACCTCCTCGACTGTGAAGAGCGGCACGGAGGGCCAAACTCCAACCGTGGAAGGGTGTGTACCCTCGGAGGAAGAACTGGTGACAGAGGAGGATGGGAAATACCCTGTTGCACTGAAGACGTAAGGGGAAATCATATCAGCCTTGTCACAAATTTGCCCATTATATTGCGTATCTTCTCAATTGTTCCAATCAACGATAAAACACTGTTTTTTCTTTTCACGAACTTATTCTTTTCTTTTTCAGCTGGCGGGCCCCAGTCGTCAACTCTTCATTACCGGCCAACCAGAATACCTAGGCCAAATATTGGCCTCCCTTGCCGTTTCTCTAGGACCATTGGCCTCAGGGCTGGGTAAGGGCTACAGTTCCCCGGCCATTGCTTCGTTACAGCAACGAGAATCAGACGCTTTTAGCGTTAATGGTCAGCAAGCCAGCTGGCTAGCATCTTTGAGCCTTCTAGGAGCACTATTCGGAGCCCCATGCGGAGGGTTAGCCGTCAAATGGGGTAGGAAGAGGACCTTGTTGATTGCTGGGTTTCCCTTGTCGTTGTGTTGGATCATGACGGTATTTGCCGTAAGCATTGAGGTAAAGTAGCACTTTTTATAGTATACATTTTTTCACCTAGAAACATGGTCTAAGAAAACAAGTAGTGTGTTGCTGGTTGCGTATTGACTGTTGCTCCACTGTGCGACAGGAACTATCGAAACTAAGTTATTTCGGTGGAGTCGGTGCGAAAATTTCATACGCTTCGAACTGATTTTTAGAAAAAATATACAAACTTGTTTTTAGGGTAAATAACAAAAATTGTTTTTAGTGTTCAATTACGCGATTTAACGGAACTATGTGCAAAATTTCATAGTTCTAGGGCAAATTTTATATTTTTCTTCCCTAATCCTTAATTTTCTAATCCTAATTCCTAATCCTATATTTTTACATAAAGGCACCTGCTCCATACCGGGTGTTGCATCGTCGGACGGGACATAGGAAATTCCATGTAAATTTTAATGGGGTCCGTTATTGGCTTCCCTAATTATTTTAGAGAATAATTCTATTTAAGTTTATTGAAGAGCACTAAAACCCACATCCAAAAGAATAACTTTAGATATTTTTGATTAGCTCGTTTATGAGTTATCGCCGATTTATTTTTAAATATTTCTCCTTTTTTATGGCCCTGTATTTACTTATGAGCACCAGTCAAGGTAAAAGATAACTGTCAAATGAAGTCGTCATTTCAGAAATTTACCTATTTAGTGCTTTATTATTATTGAAAACTCATTCCTACATCGGAAATCTTAAAGATGTATTTATAAATACAAATTAATATGAATTAAAATAAAATAAAGTAATCAATTACAAGGTTAATTATAGTATTATTACAATATTCAATAACTTAGTAATTTAAGTACTATTAAATTGTTAGAACTTTAGGATTTAAGAAGATGTTCAAATATTCCTCCATCGACTGCTAGACAATGACCCAGGCGATTATAAAATTCTCTTCTTACATTCGCTGGTAAACTGAAATTCTATTGCATTCGGCAGAAATAGCATTTTTTAACTCGTCTAGATTTGGGTATTTTTTATCCTTGTATATCCTGTTTTTTAAATGGCCCAGAGAGAGAAATCATTTGGCGAAATATCAGGAAACCTTGCTGGCCAATTTACTGTATGATTTAGGCCAATAACGTTTCCGTTAAAACTATTGTCTAAATATTCCCGAACAGCCAGGGTACTATGTGCCGGGCAGCCATCCATTTGGTACCAAACTTCCTGATTTTCCCTAGCGTCATCATGTAAAGCAGGTAAAATATGATTTTCGAGTAGTTCCAAATAATATTCTGTATTTAAATCTCGCGTAAGAAATAATGGCCCGATAATATTGTGTCCGAATATCCCTGCCCAAACATTTACTTTCTGTGGATATTGCATCCTTGTTTCGACAAACCTGTGTTGGTTTTCTTTGTTCCAATATCGATAATTTTGAACATTGGGTTCATTATTTAAGGTAAACATGCATTCGTCAGTAAAACATATGTTTTTTAAAAATTCCCTATCCGTGTTTGCTCTTTCCATCATATCAAAACAAAACGCCTGCCGCCGTATTTCGTCCCCATCTCGTAGCTCTTGGTGCTTTTCATATTTGAAGGAATAGTATTTATGTCGTTTCAAAATTCGAAACGCTGTAGTGTGATCTATTCCTATTTCATCCTCAAGTTTCCTTGTGCTGATCTTTCCATCGTTCTCTTCCAGGCACAATAAAACTTCCAAGTCGGTATCATTTCTTGCATCTTCTCTTTGTTCCTGCCTTGCTTCACATCTGCAGTTATTTATTAGGGTACCTTTTTGGTCTCAAATCTCTGGATATTCCTTGCGATTCTAGATTTTCCAGGTATCGGTCTATTCGGATACAGAGCAGCAAACATGTCCGACACCTTTTGATAACTATTTCCTTGATAATACCATTTAATCATCAATACTTTTTCTTCGGTAGTGTAATTCATGGCTAATATTTTCGATGTAGGTATGAGTTTTTAATAATAATAATAAAGCACTAAATAGATAAATTTCTGAAATGACAACTTCATTTGACAGTTATCTTTTTCCTTGACAGGTTCTCATAAGTAAATACAGGGCCATAAGAAAGGAGAAAGAAATATTTAAAAAGAAGTCGGCGATAACTCGTAAACGGGCTAATCAAAAATATCTAAAGTTATTCTTTTGAATGTGGGTTTTAGTGCTCTTCAATAAACCTAAATAGAATTATTCTCTAAAATAACTAGGGAAGCCAATAACTCACCCCATTAAAATTTATATGGGATTTTCTATGTCCCGCTCGACGATGCAACACCCGGTATATCTAAAATAATTTCAGTGTTACAACGTTGCCACATCATATATGAAAAGTTGTAGCATCTTTCTTATTCTAAATAGACCACCCTGCATATTGTTACATTTTTAGAAACTATTTTCATACATCACAATTTAATATCTTTAATAGTTTATAAGATAAAAAATAAAACATGTGTAAAATTGACAAAAATATGATCTTGAATAAGCGTTGGTAAAATCATGATTTGAACAGTTTAAAAGTTGAAATTTGGGTTATGAGTTAAAGAAAGTTGATATATTACACATTACACAGGGAAAGCAAAAAACATATTTCTTTCCGTTTGTTATAAAATTGCTCTCTCTCTCAAATCTTTTTATTTTAAATTCAACCTTATACAGGGCGCTACAAATTCGAGGTACGAGCATTGGTATCTCGGAAACCGTAAGAGATACGCAGATGGTTAAATTGGGGCAAAGTTGCCCTTTAGGATGTTTACCAAGATACCGTAGATTGCCGAAGATAGTGTAGCATCTCATTGTACTCAGGATATCGAGTTCTTTCAAAACTTCAAATAAAAAATGCAGGTCCGTATTGAAAAAATTAAGTTGGCCTCTGTATCTCACAAATTATCAGCTAATTTGAAAATCTAAAAATACTATCAGATAGCCCTAATAAAGTAGCCATGAGAATGTGCAATTAGTTTTTTGATTTTCTAAAAAGTAACGCCAGGAAAAAATAAAATTGATTTTCAAAAAATTCCGTTTTTTCCAAAAAACTCCGCAATCCTTGAAATTTTTAAAACTTTTTTGATAGCATCTTGGTGAACATCCTAAAGCGCAACTTTGCCCCAATTTAACCATCTTCGTATTTCTTACGGTTTCCGAGATACCAATGCTCGTACCTCGAATTTGTAGCACCCTGTATATAAATATATTTTAAAAAATCAAAAGACTAAAAAATTGCTTTTGAACGATATATTGTGTTCCTATTGTGTTATTATTAAGTAATTTTTAAATAGCGCTACTTAAGAATCCGGAAGGGTCTAAGAAGTTAATAATTCTATTATTATAATCTCATTTATTAAAAATGTCGTTATCATGACAATTGTAGACATTTAGCAAGTAAAGTCTAATTGATACTTATAAAGTTTGAATATGTTTTATGTTAACGATTTTCTTTAAACGAAACAACCATAATAGACCAAACCAACTGAAAAATCCAGAAAGTTTAGTTAGTTATAGGAGCATGATATATCGTTGATAAGCAATTTTATTTGTGTTTTAATTTTCTAGATAATATACATAAGCTTGAATTTAAAATAACAATAATTTGAGCAATTTTATAACAAACAGAAATAACTATTTTTTTTATCTCTCTGCTTGATATCCAATCGGTTGATTTAGACAGATCGAATATGTCCATAGATAAATGAAACAAGTTCAGATTGGAAAGTGCCCATAAGGACAATGTAAACACTATTTGGCACTATCCTTGCAACGGTCGCGACCCAAAACTTTTGAAAATTTCGGAGCAGTTCCGCTTTTTCCGGAATTATATTGCCAAATATTGTTTATTCAAGTTTATTATTATTTTCGTTTAATTTTATAAATAAAAGACAGTGTGTTGCATACAAGAAACTTTATTTTATATAAGGACGCATATATGAAATACCTATGAAACATTGGAAACCGACGTTATGCCACGATCCACGATGGTTTTTGCAGTTCACAGTTCACAGCACAGCTTTTTAAGTTTTTAATGCCACTTTTTCACAATTATCACCGGTTGGAGTAAATAAAACTTGAATTAAACTCACAAGATAGCAATTATTACTTTTGGACGCTATAAACACTTTTCGGAATTTCTTTAATGAGAGCGGTTTGGATTTTGAAAGATTATTATGATTTTTGAAGATTCTGACTTTGACAAGAGAAAATTATTTCTGTTTTTGTTTGCCGTTGTTCTTAGCGACCGCTATAGCAGCGCCAGATCGCGTATAACGGTCGCGACCCAAAATAATTTCGCGACCTAAAATTTTTACGGGGTTTCCAATCTAAACTTGTTGCATTTATTTATGAATATGTCGACTTTCCATAACCTATAAAACAAATTTCAGCCTTCAATATGACAAATTTATTATTTAACCAATTTCATAGATAAATGCAACAAGTTTAGATTGGAAAGCCCGTAAAAATTTTGGGTGGCGAAATTATTTTGGGTCGCGACCGTTATACGCGATCTGGCGCTGCTATAGCGGTCGCTAAGAACAACGGCAAACAAAAACAAAAATAATTTTCTCTTATCAAAGTCAGAATCTTCAAAAATCATAATAATCTTTCAAAATCTAAACCGCTCCCATTAAAGAAATTTCGAAAAGTGTTTATAGCATCCATTTTCAAAGTAATTATTGCTATCTTCTGAGTTTAATTCAAGTTTTATTTACTCCAACCGGTGATAATTGTGAAAAAGTGGCATTAAAAACTTAAAAAGCTGTGCTGTGGACTGTGAACTGCAAAACCATCGTGGATCGTGGCTAACGTCGGTTTTCAATGTTTCATAGGTGTCTCATACATGCGTCCTTATATAAAATAAAGTTTCTTGTATGCAACACACTGTATTTTATTTATAAAATTAAACGAAAATAATAATAAATTTGAATAAACAATATTTGGCGATATAATTCCGGAAAAAGCCGAACCGCTCCGAAATTTTCAAAAGTTTTGGGTCGCGACCGTTGCAAGAATAGCGCCAAATA